TTTGTTCTCTTATCCTCTTCCCAAGGAGAAACGTGTGCGCAATGGAGTATTTTATTTGTTTTTTGGTTGTTTGGTTTTCATATGTTCATAACATATTTTGACTTTTCAGGCTAGACTCCCATTCTCAAAAACAGTGGTGGTGCTGCCCCCCTTACACCGAATAGCCCAGTGCCCTAACCATTGGAGCTATGGAGTCATTCAGTCTATCACAGTAAATGTATAAGTATTTTGTATAAAGTGCGACAGTTTCAACAGGAGAGAGACCCTCAGAATAGCCAATAGCCTGGTGCTTAGCGTATCTTGGGGAGCGGGGAGACCTAGGTTCAAGTCCCAGCTCCGGAGTGGAGATTGAAATTCCTTTCTCTCACATCCCAGATGAATTCCCTAATCACTGAAGTACTGCATATAAAGGGTTTTGTGAATCTAGCCTTCATTTTTTGCTTTTATTAAAAATACTCCAAATTAAATGTTTTGTTCAACCCTAAATTAAAGTTTTCAGACTTCAATTCATTGAAAATGCTAAAAAAAATAAAATAAATAAAAATTGGCTTCTATTCAACCAGAGCCAAATTTTTTTTATTTTTCCAGAACTATTAGCAAACCAAAAAATGAATTGGCACAGCTCTACTGAGTATGACTAAGGGTTGCAGAATCCACCTGTAATTTAAGCTATCTACCTACAGTGCATAAAACCATTACACTCTAGTGCAACTCCTCACAGTTGGGTCTCAGAAGTATATTACAAGTTAGTAGCCATTTGTTAATTAGTGAACTTAAAAATATTGTCTGAGTCTCTCTCCTTTGGTGTGCTATAATGGTATACATAGTTGCAGCAATCTTGTCAGTATTTCCAGCCTGAGAAAAACAGTGGTATTGAATTTTTACTTCACATTTGCCTTTTACAGTTTATTCTGTGTCTTTAGCCCAGAGTCTGCTAAACCAGTTAGTTTAAATAGAACTAAAATCAGAGAGCTATATATAGTTTAATAAAGTGGATGTTCAGCCTTGAGTTCAGCTTTTGCTCCTTAGTGAAATTGATCTCTCTAATGGAATAATGCCCTTATCCCAGTTTGCAATAGTTACATCCATGGAGATATAGTCTGATAGTACAACCTTAAACCTTCTTTAGTGTATTCCTGTTTGCAAAAATATTTACTGTTTCAAGAGGAAGTAATCCTTCTTTGTCTGAAAGATATGTGTGTACACAATATATTGTTTGAAATTTTTCCATCAAAGCATTTAAATCTCTTTTGTAATATTAATCTAGCATTGTTGAGTCATGCTGTAGTCAGATCAATAGTACTGCAACTAATTGACTCTGCCAAAAGCCATTAAAAATCAAATTGTCAGCCATTTGTGAGTTTCACAAGAGTTCAGTTTGCTACTGGTTGTTTTGAAACTTTACTTGTTTAAATGGTATTAGATGTGTTTTTGTCTGGATTAAGTGCTTTTAAAAAAGTGAAATTTGAAAGCAGTCACAAGTAAATGCTTTAGGAATCCTTGCCTAAATACGAAGTTTTTACTTTAACAGAGACAGTCTGGGGAAGGAGAGCAGCAAGAGTGGGAAGGGATAACTTTTCAGTATGTTTACTATATAACCTTCTTGCAGACAGCTTCTCTTAAAGTATTCTATGGAAAGTGCTATAATGATAGAGTAATATACCTGGGGCCTTGTATGGCAAGTTGTCAAGGTTCCTTCCCCACTCTGAACTCTAGGGTACAGATGTGGGGACCTGCATGAAAACCTCCTAAGCTTACTTTTACCAGCTTAGGTTAAAACTTCCCCAAGGTACAAACTATTTTACCCTTTGCCCTTGGACTTCCACTGCCACCACCAAACATTTATCTGGGTTTCTTTATTAGGAAAGCGTTGTTTGGAAACATCTATCCCCCAAAATCCTCCCAACCCTTGCACCCCACTTCCTGGGGAAGGTTTGGTAAAAATCCTCACCAATTTGCATAGGTGACCACAGACCCAAACCCTTGGATCTTAAGAACAAGGAAAAAGGATTTTAATAGAAGTAAAAAGTAAAAAATCTGTAAAATCAGGATGGTAAATACCTTACAGGGTAATTAGATTCAAAACATAGAGAATCCCTCTAGGCAAAACCTTAAGTTACAAAAAGGCACACAGACAGGAATATCCATTCTATTCAGCACAGCTTAATTTCTCAGGCATTTAAAGAAATCATAATCTAACGCATATCTAGCTAGATTACTTACTAAGTTCTAAGACTCCATTCCTGTTCTATCCCCAGCAAAAGCATCACACGCAGACAGACCCAGACCCTTTGTTTTTCTCCCTCCTCCCAGCTTTTGAAAGTATCTTGTCTCCTCATTGGTCATTTTGGTCAGGTGCCAGCGAGGTTATCCTAGCTTCTTAACCCTTTACAGGTGGAAGGATTTTTCCTCTGGCCAGGAGGGATTTTAAAGGTGTTTATCCTTCCCTTTATATTTATGACACAAGTAGAGACAGTATGGGAGAAAGGATAATGTTTGATCTTACCTAAGAATTCTACTTTTGGCTGGATGAGAAACTGCAAGCCTAGTTTGCCATCATTTCCTCAGTTTTAAATGCTGATTATTTTACGAAAGCAAAACCAACATAACATGTAACTAACATAAGGTTGTACCAGTTCTTCACCAGATTTCTTCTATGTTAAGTTTCTTTCCTCTAACCTTTATCTGTTGTTTTTGAGAATATCTCAGAGTGATTCTCTTCCTCAGCACAGTGAGGCTTAATCCTGATGTATCATATATGTGCTTGCCAATATTTAATATTATTGCTACTGTTATTATAGTTATTACTACTATAATTACATTGAAAGTTGGCAGCAGAAGGCTAAGTGGGCCAAATTTTGGGTTGGCCTCAACCTGCAACCTAAAGTTATACTTGTATTTTGTGTGCCATTGGTACTTGCAAAGCCTGCATTTCATTTTTAACATGAATTTGCAATTAGGGTGACAGCTAATGATCAGTTTTTCACACTCAAACCTGAATGGATAAAACTTGCAGATGTAATTATAGAGGTAAATTTTGAAACGTGTGACTGATTGTGTTTTCATGAGTCCACTGTGGATCCATGGTATTTAAACCTCCAGTTCTTCTTCAAGTGCTGGTTCCTATTGTATTCCTCATGTGGGTACACATGTGCAGCATGCACCTGAGTTCAGAGATTTTAACAAGCTGTGTCTCTTGGTCCACATATGCTCAGTTGGTCTCCTCATGCTTCTGAGCAAGAGTAGAAGAGGCAGTACAGGTTGACACCCCCTCAGTTCCTTACCGCCGCATGGTCCTGAGTCAGAATTCAATGTTCTCTCTTTCTTCAGCTTTCAGAGATCCTGCAGATAAAATAGTATATAGTTATTCTTTTTAGTTTAGTACAGCTATGGTTTTAGTGTCATTTGTGTACTTTACTTCCCAGGACCGGGGACTGCCTCCCTGCAGTCTGGGCCTATGCCCAAAGTCCCAGGCTTCAAAAACTGCATCTCCTGCACTAGATCCTTCGCTGTCAAAAAGGAACACCAATGTTGTGTCTACTGTCTGGGTGAGACACACATTTCTTCTGTGTTTGTTGATCATTTCCACCAATAAATTGCAAACCCTGTGAGCTTCATCTTAGGAAACCCTTAATGGAGAAGGCCCTGAGGCCCCCCTCTGATCTGGGGCAGGGAAACCCTCCTCTACAGCAGCCTCAGTAAATGAGCACATGCCTAGGAGCAGAGCCTTCAATTTCAAAGACCAAAGACTCTTCCTTCAGGGCTTCCCATGAGAATAAAGGGCGTTCCCATGGGCGCAAGGACAGATGCCTGTCAAGAACTGTCCATAAGAGATGCGCTCCTTCCCTGAGCCGATCGAGGTTGGGTGAGCCTTCTAAAGGAGGGCAAGTTGGTGGCAAAAAGAGCTTTTCAGGTTGAAGTTGATGCAACAGTTATAGTATCCAGAAGCTTGACCACAGGTTTTTTTATGAGGAGGGATTCTTGGTTGCAATCCTTGGGCTTTCCCAGGGAAGTGAAGAATACTATGCAGGACCTTCCCTTTGATGAGTCAAACCTCTTTAATAAGAAAATGACTGACTCTTCATTCATTAAAAGACTTGAGGGTACCCTCCACTCCCTATCTGTATTCCACTACCTGCCCTCTGTCCCCTCTGCTTCTCGTCTGGTTGGATTCACCATGAGAAGAGAAACTGAGGGAACGTCAACCAGCAGTACCTCTTATATCCTCACTCGAAAACACAAGAAGACCCACTATGGATATGAGGGCCAATGGACGCCGCTCGGTAAAATGTCTGGACTCGGATGCATGCTCATGCATATCCATGTGTTGAATACAGATACAGACCACATATTTCAAAGGACTTCCAATATTAGTAAACAACCTCCTTTTGTCATTGGTTGGTCTAATTCAGCTTTGTAATAATTGTATTTCTGTATTTTAGATTGCTGATTCTCTTTCATGAGTAACAATTTTTAATGTATATGAGTAAATCGAATATGATTGCTCCTTTTGGAAGATAATTCACTGTTCGTAGATGCAGAGATACTCTGCAGAGATTAAAGGAATTCAGCCTCTGGCTAGAAACCTATGTTAGTTTTGGACTGGCTTTGTTTGCTATCTTTAAACTATGAGTTATTTGTATTTATGAGGAATGGTGGTAGGAAGCGATCGTAGATTAGTGTTTAGAACTAAAAGTTAGAAATTTGGGGTTTAGTCTTAATTCTGCCACTTAATTCTGCCACTGAGTTACTGTGTAATCTTAATTGCATTCTGTGCCTGTTTTGCACCTGTAAAATGGGAGATACCTTCTATTTACTACTGTTTGTAAAGTTCTTTAATAGTTTTAAATGAAAGCTGATGTAGATGCATAAAGCATTATTAAAATTACTGAGCTTGAATTGTCAACATGATATTCTAGACTGATGCCTTTCATGTTTTTAGACAAATCTTGGTAGAATTTGTTTCCTTAGAATGACACTTGTTTCCCTCCTTTCTCCAGGTCTATTATTAGCAGAAGATTTTTCTGTATAGTTGGCACACTATACCTATATCGGTGTATTACGATGTATGTAACTACACTGCCAGTACCCGGTATGCATTTCAACTGTTCTCCAAAGGTAAGTTTTTCTCACTGCAATTCCATTTGGTAGCTTCTGTTCTTTTTCCTTTTTCCACACGCCAGAGATCCTTAATAACTGTGAACAGACCTGTTGATTGTAACTCTCATACAAGTTGGAATGGCAAGGACGTTTTTTCACAGATCGTCAATGCTGCAAATTTGTCAACCGGGGTGCTAGCTGTTGAACAATGCAAAGCACTCCCTTCTCAGGCCTAATTTACAGTGTTTGTGTCAATTTTTAACTATTTTGATTAGGGGTGTGACTTTTTTGTTTTGTTTTTTTTCTGAGATAGTGGAATCTGTACATCCTATAATGAGATGCAGTTACTGATGTAGAGGTGCCATATACCACTGTAGCTTACTTCTAGAGCTGAGCAAAATTTGAAATTTCCATCTCATGGGAAATTCCAGTATTTCAGCATTTGTATTTTCATCCCGAATGGAAAAGAAAAGTTAACATTTGGAAAATTTTCATGGAATTAAATATTCCAAAAAACTTAATTTCAAAAATATTAAAATGTTTTCTCCTTTTTCGATCGAAACAAAACCTTTCGTCATTCCTGAAATTAGTGTTTCGTTTCTGTTGGTTGAACTCAGGTAGGATGCTTCGTTGCAAGTTAGTTCGACATTAAACTGTATTTTCCCCATTGTGGCGCATTGACACATATAGTCATAGAAGATTAGGGTTGGAAGAGTCCTCAGGAGGTCATCTAGTCCAACTCCCTGCTCAAAGCAGGACCAACCCCAACTAAATCATCCCAGCCAGGGCTTTGTCAAGCTGGGCCTTAAAAACCTCTAAGGATGGAGATTCCACCACCTCCCTAGCTAACTCATTCCAGTGCTTCATTACCCTCGTCGTGAAATAGTCTTTCCTAATATCCAACCTAGACCTCTCCCGCTGCAACTTGAGACTATTGCTTCTTGTTCTGTCATCTGTCACCACTGAGAACAGCCTAGCTCCATCCTCTTTGGAACCCCGCTTCAGGTAGTTGAAGGCTGCTATCAAATCCCCCTGCACTCTTCTCTTCTGCAGACTAAATAAGCCCAGTTCCATCAGCCTCTCCTCATAAGACATGTGCCCCAGCCCCCTAATCATTTTAATTGCCCTCCACTGGACTCTCTCCAATTTTGGGGGGCCCAAAACTGGACGCAATACTCCAGATGTGGCCTCACCAGTGCCAAATAGAATGGAATAATCTCTTCCCTTGGTCTGCTAGCAGTGCTCCTACTAATGCAGCCCAATATGCCGTTAGCATTCTTGGCAACAAGGGCACGCTGTTGACTCATATCCAGCTTCTCGTCCACTGTAATCCCCAGGCCCTTTTCTGCAGAACTGCCCCTTAGCCAGTTGGTCCCCAGCCTGTAGCAGTGCATGGGATTCTTCCATCCTCAGTGCAGGACTCTGCACTTGTCCTTGTTGAACCTCATCAGATTTCTTTTGGCCCAATCCTCCAATTTGTATAGGTCACTCTGGACCCTATCCCTACCCTCCAGTGTATCTACCTCTCCCCCCAAGTTTAGTGTCATCCGCGAACTTGCTGAGGATGCAATCCATCCCATCATCCAGATCATTATTGAAGATGTTGAACAAAGCCAGCCCCAGGACCAACCCCTGGGCAACTCCGCTTGATACTGACTGCCAACTAGACATCAAACCATTGATCACTACCTGTTGAGCCCGACAATCTAGCCAGCTTTCTATCCACCTTATAGTCCATTCATCCAATCCATTTTTCTTTAACTTTCTGTCAGGAATACTGTGGGAGACCATATCAAAAGCTTTGCTAAAGTCAAGATATATCACATCCACCACTTTCCCCATATCCATAGAGCCAGTTATCTCATCATAGAAGGCAGTCAGGTTGGTCAGGCATGACTTGCCCTTGGTGAATCCATGTTGACTGTTCCTGATCACCTTCCTCTCCTCCAAGTGCTTCAAAATGGATTCCTTGAGGACCTACTCCATGATTTTTCCAGGGACTGAGATGAGACTGACCAGTGTGTAGTTCCCCAGATTCTCCTTCTTCCCTTTTTTAAAGATGGGCACTATATTTGCCTTTTTCCAATCATCCAGGACCTCCCCTGATCAGCACGAGTTTTCAAAGATAATGGTCAATTGCTCTGCAATCACATGAGCCAAGTCCCTCAGCACCCTCGGGTGCATTAGATCTGGCCCTATGGACTTGTGCATGTCCAGCTTTTCTAAATTGTCCTTAACCTGTTCTTTCACCACTTAGGTGAACATGGAAGTTGTATTTTGGGAGCCTGATGGTCTCTATTCTCCCCAAGGACCAAGCTTCACAGCTGGACTATATCTGCGATTCACAAGTCCCCATACAGTTTCATCAAAGAGGAGTCCAGATGGCATTGTGGGATTTGTAGTCCTCCAGAGAGCCTGACCTGTAGGTCCCATGAGGCAATGCACTAGTAGGAAAGTGCAGTGTGACGGGGCAAGGCCAGATGGCTATAGAAAAGTAGTGGGAGATAGATATATTAGCTCCAGGCTAAACAAATCCCTGGTACCAGGATAAGTGAAATGGCAGCTGCTCCAGGTCAATTAAGACACTTGGGGCCGATTAAGAACTTTCCAGAAGGCAGGTAGAATGCTAGGTTGATTGGGACACCTGAAGCCAATCAGGGGCTGGCTGAAGCTAGTTAAAAACCTCCCAGTTAGTCAGGTGGGTGTTCATGTCAGGAGTTGTGGGAGGAAGTTGCGCTGTTGGAGAGACTGAGTATTACACACCATATCAGGCACAAGGAAGGAGGCCCTGAGGTAAGGGTGAAGTGGAGCTTGAGGAAGTGAGGGCTGCTGTGGGGGAAGTAGCCCAGGGAATTGTACATGTCATGTTTCTAAAAGGTCAGCTACCATAGCTGTTACTATTAGGGTCCCTGGGCTAGAGCCCGGAGTAGAGGGTGGGCCCGGGCTCTCCCCTCTCCCCCCCAACCTTTGCCCCCTGATTAATCACTGAGACTGGGAGACAACAGAGACTGTGCAAGGAAGGATAACTTCTCCTCACCTCCCTTGCTGGCTTATGATGAAAATGGCTTCCCTTGTTTCTAGAAAGAGAAGGGTTACGTGGAGGGTCACAGTGAGCCTCTGAGGCTAGCGAAATCCGCCAGGAAATGCGGGACCCACGGAGGCAAGGACAGAGCTTTGTCACAGCAGTTTAATGTTTTGTTGAATTGATTTGAAACAAAGCATTACAGGTTAGTTAAACAAAGTAAAATATTCCAATTTGTATCAAACTGACCCAATGAGAAATATCTTGTTTCCATTTTTCTAGTAGAAAATCAAAGAGTCTTTGAAAAACAGAAATTTTCCAATAAAAAATTAGATTTTGTGGACAGTAAATTTTCCATCTTAATGATTTTCTTATGGCAAATTCCCACCCAGCTCTACTTACTCTCCTAAATTTACAAGACTAAGCTATCCTAGCATAAGCACCTTTATATGGGTATAATTGCATCTGCACTAAGGGGGTTATATTATACCAGTTTGAAACCAATATAATTTAAGCGATACAAAAACTGAAGACAAGCTGTAGTGCTTTCTCAGTCTCTCCATAGCATTCCTATCCCTCGCCAGCCTAGATGTTAATTATGGTAATTATTAAACTTGAGAGAAATAATCTAATCAGCCTATTTGAAACCTCCCACGTACAAGCTCTCTACGGCTTCGTCCACATTTTTCTGTATTGGTGAAACTCCACTTCCAGAGCAGAATTAGTTATAGGCCATCTTAAAAGTCCAAAACCCCTTAACCTACTTTACAGTAGTATTGCTACTGTTCTTTTATGGGTGGAACTGCACTGATGCAGAAAAATGCCTACATGTTCTTAAAGTAGACAAACCCAAAATGTTTGGTTTCCAAGAGAAAATGTTCCAATGAGTGTGCTGACCAATGATGGAAATTAGCTCTGCTTATATGACGACAGTGCAGTCTTTGCCAAATCGTATGTGGCTGCTTGGAGACATAAGTCTTTGTAAATGGAGGAATGGGTAGGGACATGAGAAGGAGAAATCAGCAACATGTGTAATCAGTCAATTAAACAGTGAGCCACTATAAGTACAAAAAGAAAACAGATACTATAATTCCAAACTGAGTAAATCTGCCATTTCTGAAAAGGAACATTCTTTATTTCAACAGAAATTAGGCAGATTTGCCAATGTTTTAAATGACCTTTATAACAAGGACTAACCTGCACTGTACTGCATTACTGCAGAGTTTTGATATATTGATTAGCCTCTCTTGATCTTTCTCAGGACTTCCTTGTAAAATACAGAACATTTTCAATCCCGAAAACCCCTTCTCATCTCCTTATCTGAGTCAAACATAATTTGAAAGAAATGATTTGGTGTTTGGGAGAATTCTAGGCTTTTATGAGTAATGCAGGAAGTATAATCACCATGAAAGACACTAAACAGATCCTTAATGTTAGAACTGTCTGAAAAGTACAATTCATGCCTTCTGTTGAGTTTTTAAAACAAGAATGAGCTCTAAAATAAAGAAATATTAGTCTTCAGAAGACAAATGTATTCAGTAGTGACTGATTTAAGTAGTACATGTTTTGTTCTAATTATTAAGTGGTTACCATGGCTACTTTAGGCTGTGAACCTCTTTAAAATTAGATTAAGATACAGCATGAAGAATTATCTGGTTACTACACTAATCCATTAGATCCTAGCTGGTTAATATACTAAGCCGTTAGATCCTACACTTCCAGTAGTTTGTGGGCATGCAATACAGTCTTTTCTTTGAGTGACTAATATGCCCCTGTTATGCTTGCAACAAAGTGTAAAAAAATTCCATTACTTCCATTAGTGGCCTCTTTTGAATGAATTAAAATATCTGATCGGAGTCACTCTAGCAGGTGTGAGCAGCCCAGGCAGTATCTTACAAACACTCCATAAAACAGTTAATGATCTTCTGGAAGGAGCCAAAACCTTTGTTTGGAGGGGGAGTGGAATCTTCAGAAATAGATTTTTAAGTGTGTGTATATATATATATATATATATATATATGGTACATTCCAAAGGCAAAACAAAACAAAAAAATCTCCAGAAGTATCTTTGAGCCTAAATCATTCATTGCATAGATAGTTTAAACATCAAGAGGAAGGGATAAACCCAGTCAGATATGTGGAAATCTACCTGGCCCTTCCACCTACTGTTTAAATTGAAGTAAATTTGCACGCATGCACATGCAGCTCCTCTGTGGGCTACACTAGTTAAATTTCTTTCAAAATGAAAAGTGGAGACTAATGTTCTGAGGCCTCTTAGATTTTACAGTCAAACTGCTTGTGGTTTGCTGGCAGTGAAGCCCACTCCAGTGAGCCAGAGAAGGCTCGTCAGACTGCCAGTGCTGCTAGGAACGGGAAGCAAGTCCCAGGACATATGTGGTATATGGATACTTCAATGCATCCATGTCTTCCAGGGAGCATAGGTGGACAGAGGTCAACAGTAGGAATCATGAGGAGAGAAAAGGGCTAACTATAAAAGATGGCCACGGGTCAGCCCTGTCCTTCTCATTGATAATCCCTTGTGCTTGGGGTGGAAGACAGGGTTTCCACGCCAGTGGGCTAGCTGAAGCTAGAGGGAGATAGTAAGCCTCCGAAGAACCAGAGCTTCATTAGAGGTCAGAGAAGCCTGTACACTGTTTCTTGCTTCAGGCTGGGGGCAGGGAGACACTGCAATGCCGAACCCTTAACTCCAAACTTATGCTTCCCACATGAAAGAACAACATGTCACACGCTTTCCCATTTATGTCTGCTATAAATATAAATTATAGTGTTGCTGAAAAAGGTTAAGCTTTTCATTACAGTGTGAGTTGGATTAATTTGGTGAGTCTCTTGTGTGTCTGTATCCTTGGGAGAGGGGTGGAGTATGTTTAATGTTGTGACTGGATGTTAAAGTATTACAAACAAGTTTTCCAGAACTTGTAAGTTCTTTTGTATTGTGTGTTTGTGTGAATATGTTTTGCTCTTAGCAATTTTAGCTGGTTTTTAATAAGCTTTTGTTTGTGGAAACAGTCTGAATGTGTCTAGTTTGTGGTAGTACTTCATCAATCATCTTTCTATTTAATAAAATGTTTTTGAAAACTCTGCCACTCTGCCTTTTTTTAAAGCTTCTTTCCTGTCTTTCACATCTCACTTTTCTTTCATACTGTAGTTATTAATGTTTGGTTTCTTCCATTGTTCAGTTCTCATTACCTGTTTGTCCCTTGCTAACACTTTTCTCCGCCCCCACCCCTGCACCGGTTTCTCTTTCCTTGCATTCTCTGTATTGTTTCCTTTATTCCGTCAGTTATTATCTCTCCATTTCTTACTCTTCTTCTCTCCAGTAATCTCACTTCTTCCCAAAATCCCTCTTTCTTCTTTTTTCTAACCAGTCTCCCCAGCCTCTCCACATAGTCACCTACCCATCCTATTCATCCCAATGCATCTGAATACTTGTGATAGGCAGGAGAATTTTGCTCCGTTCATAGACCACTGTGTCAATTGCTCTTTCCCTATCCTTGCTGCAGAGGGGGTTACTGGAAAAAAATGGGTTTTTCAGTCACTCTTCAGAGGAGTGTAATGAATACAGGTTTTATCTTCCTTTTTTGGGGAGATAGGAGGGTATAGATAGTTCGCAGATTGACTTTCCCCAGGAGACAGCTAAGGCACCAGCTTTCAGTTTTTTCTGCATTGATGGGAATAGTGAACAACAGCCAGTAAGTGATGGTGTTTCCTCGTCTTCTGTGTGAGATCTGCTCTACCTTCCTGAACACTCAGCAGCCTGGTAAAGGAGGCCCTGAATTGTATTAAATCTGTGCCGAGGTGGCCTGGCTCCACAGCCAGAGGGAAATGGCCATACCACAAAGTGAGCAAATGTAGTTATCTAGCACTCACTGCACGTACAACCAATGTCCTATGTTCCTTGCTGATGTTTGCGCCAACTTGTGGAAATGATACAACAGAGCTGGAAATGCTGTACATAATTTATGGAGGCATTTCCAACACTGGATACACTGGGTGGTAGCCATATGAGGAGTGGGTAATAATAGGGGAATATGGGTAACCAGAACTATACAGCTTTACAGCTCTTCTTTATGCCGAAACCATTGTGTCAAATTTCAGATGTTATCACACCACAATGACTGTTAAGGTGGTATTTACTGTTCAATCAAGCTCATTAAATTGGACAATTCATCCAATTTACTATTGGATTAATTTCTGTAGGAACAATATTGTTACTAAGGGACTTTATTTAATTCATCTTAATTGTTTACAGTTTATCATTATCAAATTAAAAGGAAAATGGGAGGTTACCAGATTTAATGAAAACACCTAAAAATTGCAGTCTGTCACTGGAAGAATTTGATTTCTGTTTAACATACTTATTTTTTGTGGAGGCGTTGGACTTCAGAATATGTGTTAGATGAGATTTTTTTCAAAGAAAAGAGACATTGGTATGTAAAGTACATTTTTGCAATCTGTGGCATTCAATGTATAGGATTTTACTAGTGCTACAGATAGATGTTCCTGCTGCTTGATCTGCTTAATGCAGTGTTCCCAAACTTGTTCCGCCGGTTGTGCGGGGAAAGCCCCTGGTGGGCCGGGCTGGTTTGTTTACCTGCCTCGTCCACAGGTTCGGCCAATCACGGCTCCCAGTGGCCGCGGTTCGCTTCTCCAGGCCAGTGGGAGCCGCTGGAAGCAGCGGCCAATACTTTCCTTGGCCCGCGCCACTTCCAGCAGCTCCCATTGGTCTGGAGCAGCGAACGGCGGCCACTGGGAGCCGCGATCGGCCGAACCTGTGGACGAGGCAGGTAAACAAACCGGCCCGGCCCTCTAGGGGCTTTCCCCTCACAACCGGCGGAACAAGTTTGGGAACCACTGGCTTCGTGTGTCATCTTGTAATCCCAGGAAACTATTCCATGTTTTTATAGCTATTGTGTTTATATTTCATTGCTGTTAAATGTTTGAATTTTTATTGTGAATTTTGCTTTGCATTGGTCCATTATTCATTGGAAGAAGTAAGTAAGTTGCATGATAGCTCATGTAGTAAAATAACCTGTTTTTTTCCTCCACAAACACATCTGTTTGCCAATAGAAACCAGCGTAGCTCCCAAAAAACCCTGTATTCTAGGAATTGGATTTAGGCAAGACTACATACATTTGATTAATCTGTCAGTTCTGTATTTTGGCTGCCTGACCTTAACTTCTGGGTTCTGTCTCATTCTTAGAAAATAAGCTAAATTTGGAGGACCTTTTACTATTGCTGTACAAATTATTTGCCTGGTTGACTTAATTCCTTTGCCATTCATCTATGAGAAAGAGTGACCACTTCACTATTTTCTGGAGATGTAACTGTAAAGGAGATAGAAAAGCTGTTTTGCTAGGAGTTGTTTTCCGACTTTCCCAGGATTCTACAGTATATCTACGGCGCTTACAAAGTATTCTCAGGTATAGCTGTGTAGCTCCCACTGAGAAAACTAAACAATTACCTGAATTTAAAGCTCCCATTAGAATATTTTTTCCTTACAGTAATGAACAATATTGAATGTTGCCAGCAAAACATCTGCAGAAGAATGTCATAAATGGCAGCACTTATAAATACTTATGAATACCAGAGAAAATGATTTCATGTTACCTATTTTAGTGTTACCATAACTGATAACACTCTAAAATCATGGCATATTAATTGCTAGATGTAATGGCAGTAACTATGGAGTTATTGCTTTGATCCAGTATAATACCAAAAAGATATGTCATGTTGATTATTTTAATTGAAAGTGAATGAGTTAAGGCTGGCTATTTGTTAGTTTCCTTTTCTCCCCAAACCGTTAGCTATTTGCAGAGAAAGGGGAAGGCCCTGCAAATTTTTCTCTAAGGGAAGTCTCCATAATTTTGGGTTTCCTATCTTAGAAAATATAAATCTATTTAAGTAAAGTAACACTGCATGCATTTTCATCCCAGTAGTGTTTTCTCCATGTTATAATCTGAAAACAATTCATTTTTTTTCCATTTTTATGTATTGTAGTCTTAAAGTCTCATTCTTATGCCTCAAAGATGTTTGGCAGTAGTCTTTGGAACCAATCGTTTTTTTTTCTCATTAAATAGCTCATGTGTAAAATTACCGAGATAAAGGGTCTGATCACACAAATTAGTAAGCATCCTCAAGTCCTATTAGCATCACTGGGAGTCAGGCTTGTTCAGCATTGAATTGGAGATGCTTGACATTACCCTGTAGGGTAATGCCTTCTCTCCTAATCTATGTTAATTTTTCATATCTTTAATGCAGTATGAAATAATCTTGGTTAAATATGTTCTTCTCTTCTTCCACCAGCTCTTTGGAGATTGGGAGTCTCACCTGAGAAGGATAATGAAATTGCTTGCTGGAGGGGGATTATCTATCACAGGATCCCACAACATGTGTGGTGACTATCTGTACAGCGGCCACACAGTCATGTTAACGCTTACATATTTATTTATCAAAGAGTGTAAGTTCATTACAATGTTTATGGAATTTAATTTTGTATATAATTAATGATTAAAGAATGTTCACTGTCTCGATCCATTAATAGAATTAGAGTGAAAAACCCAGCTTGTTCAAGTCTATTCAGTAATGTAAGACAATAATATATGCTTTATTGACTAAGAAAACAGGTGAAAATGGAATAACACTACTGTATGAGTTATACTTGGATTATTCATTCTTATTAAAGTATATTTTGACTAGAACATGATATAAAACATACTTCATGCTCAGTGAATATAGTGCTTTTGATCCAAGTATTTTAATCGTTGAAAAGCACAAGCCTCACAATACCTCAGTTTAGTAGGTAAATATTAGCATACTTGTTTTGCAGAATGGGAAATGTGGCACAAAAAACCTAAGTGACTTTCCCAAAGATACTGGAAGTTGTATGCATACAACTGAAGAGATGATCAGGCCCAAAAGTTTACATATACACACAATATGGTAGGGAAGAGGATATAGGAAAAAAAGGAATTACAGTAGCCTTGTAGTATGTATAATTACAATCCCAAAGTACTTTATAAGGTTATACATACTTCTGTTTTTATAGACTGAGATAAACTAGCAAAATAGTCACTGGTGTAATTTTTTGGGGATTCAATTAGCCTTTCCTTTTTTTAGTATCTGACTGTTGTCAGTTGGCATGCATGTTGCTCTCTCCGTATGCTATCCCAGGCCTGCAAAGAGAGTTGGTTCAGCAGACCTTGATAGTACTACCCAGAAAGAAAGACCACATGCACTGTTCAGTGACAAAGATTTATTGCTCTCAGGGCACAGTACTAGTGGTTACAAGTATGCAAACACAAGTGCCCAATGGGAAGGAGTGGTAGTCAGCAGCCAGAGTCTGCTTTCCCCTAGGCCACATAAAGGGTTATGGTGAAGTACCCTGACATTTGTAGACTAACAACTTATGTACCACCTTATGTGTTTCATGACATCTGCTTGTTACCTCTCCTTGTATCTTGCTCCAAGCATCTCGGCTAAACATCCCTATTTATCACTAATGTCAAACCCCCCTTATCTGGTGTCAGGATGTACCCGGGCTAATTTTTTTTAGAGTGTGTCTACACACATACCCAGTATCTGTTGCTTCTTAGGAGCCTGAGTTTTAGCAACACTAGCAATACTTTTGCCAAGGTCATGCGTCAGACAGTAAACTTGTAGCATCTGCTGTAATACATGGCTGAACCAAAGTTCAAAGCTTAACTTTGGTTCATGACATGCCTTAACTTTGATGACTGTGGTTCAGGCTTCAGATCTTACAGCAGGCGCAGTGCTCCAGACTCTCGCTCTCTCTCCCACACCTATGAATACATTTTAAAAAAATATACTGATTACTTTTCAAATTGAGAGGTAAACATTAAATATTTTGTTATTTTGCACTCAAAGTCTTATTGTGCAATTCATGTGCAGTAGTTGTTGTTGTCTAACAGTCTCCTGCTTCTAATTATAAATTACTGGCTTCCAGAGTAATAAATTAGTGTGTTTAAGTAATGTTATCAGCATTCTTTTATGTGATTAAATAGTGATTATTTTTCTTGCTTTCAGATTCACCTCGGCGACTTTGGTGGTATCATTGGATTTGTTGGGCTCTTAGCATAATTGGGATGTTCTGTATTCTCTTGGCTCATGACCACTACACTGTGGATGTGGTGGTGGCTTACTACATCACTACAAGACTTTTCTGGTGGTATCACACAATGGCCAATCAGCAAGTGAGTTTTCACCCAAATATTTGGTTCTCCTTGGTTCTTCATCTCCTTCTTTAGTACATCAATAGATGAATTATGATATGTTGTTTTGAGACTTTTAACCAGGAAATATGGATGGATTGTTCTCCCTCACATTGTGCCTTACGGGAGAGAACAGAAGACAAACCCCAAGAATTCCTAAAATCCAAACTTGTACAGAACACTTAAAATAAAAAACTACAGAACTTCCAGTGATGGCAGAGAAGCATGACAGGTTTATTCTTCCCTGCCAGTGGGCTCCATCACTCTTATCGTGATCACCAAAAATGTGGGAAAGCCTGCCAAACAAGCAGTCTGCCTTCATTTTTTATTTAATTTTCACTTTTGAAGGATGTGTGTTTTTGAATTTTGGGCAAGGTGAAGAAAGCAAAATTGTCCACTCTTACGGTATTAGCACAACTCATAATTTAATGGGGGTGATAGAGGGGTAAAGCTTTTCTTGATCTCCAGATATGCTGTAGCTTGCTCGTGCACTTTTAGCCATTTCAGAAATGTCTGTCACGATTACTTTTGATGGGACTGAAGCCAGGCTGCTCTGAGTAAAAAGAGCCATTGTCTTAAAGCATCTGCAAGTGGAAGTGAAGTTGCACCTAGTAAAGGTGGCTGTCCTTTTCACATTGAAAATAATGGGACAGAAGCCAGGCTGCCCTAGAGTGACCAGATGTCCCAATTTTATAGGGACAGTCACGATTTTTGGGTCTTTTTCTCACATAGGCACCTATTACCACCCACCACCGTCTCGATTTTTGACACTTGCTATCTGTTCAGCCTAGGCTGTCCACATTCTTCATGTGTGGTCCAGGCAGGAGATAGTGGAGCTTACGTGAGGCTGTAGTGATCTGAAGAATAAAGGAGAGCTGGTGGGAGGGAGCCAGAAATATGAAACAGAAAGAAAAAGAAAGAAAGAAAGAAAGAAAGAAAGAAAGAGAAATTTGGGGACGAAGCAGAGAGGGATGTGGAGTGGGTAGAGGAATTTGTTTTTTTACAACTCTAAAGCTCAAAAATCAGAAGACAGACCTAAACAATTTATTTTTGTTTTAAAATCTCATTATTTTAATGCTACCGTCATGTGTTCGAGGGTCTTGTGGAGTTAAACCGATAGCAATGCTGACTGACTTATTTTTAATTTAGTCTGCCAAGGCTCAGTAATGTAGAGTCCCAGTTTAAATGGAAAATCCATTGACTGACTTCAGACTTGGGCAAAAATGTAGTGCCTATTTTTACTCAAAACTATTTGCTGATCTTCAGAAAATCTAAGATAGGAATGGAGTCTCTTTTGATCTAAGATAATAGGTCAGTGTAAAAGTATTATATTTGGAAAATTGAGATCCTGATTAGATATCCTTTAACACATTCTCTCCTTATATGCCTGCTATGGCTCCAGTTCGGCATAGCACTTGAGCATATGCTTATTCAGGGCCAATATGCAGTGCTGAAGTATGAATGTTCTGTGAATCATCAATGTTCCATCACTTCTAGTTTATACCCAAAGCTTCTGACTAGGGGGAATATATATATATATATATATATATATATATGTTTGTTTGTTTGTTTGTTGAAAAAGAAAGCTGCTAGATGTTGGTTTATGACATGAAAATATGGCAATATATGGTCTTGACAATTAATGCCAGCAGCAAAATCGTTTTAAGTTGATAATATAAAAAGTAATGCAAGCTTAAGGCATTACAGTACTTTTTATATTATAATACAAACCTGGTACTGATAGGTTTACTGCTCTTCGAAAAATGAATCAGTGCATTTTGCAACTGTAAACTGGTGAAGTGAAAGCTAACTTAAAGCATAGTAGTGGAAATTACACTACAAAAGTCTTGTTATGGGAAATGCTGTACTTCATTGCACAGAAAAACATTGGTTATCCTGTCATCCAATTTTCACAGTGATGATATATCGGCATATACTGGTTCTGGGAATCATTAAGTGTGCTTAGGAATAGAGACTAAAGGTAATCCGTCAAATATTGTGTGTGTTGATACCAACTGGCCCAGGCAGGATGGTTCTTTTGTGATGGAAGACTTACATAGTAGCGATGGTTGTGGACTGTTGCGTTTACGTTCAGCTGAGGAATAAATCATTCTCTAAATGTCCTTTCACTTTGTCTTGAGAGTCCTTACTCGGCATCCAGTTGCAGCAACTGTGATACTTCATTTGCCATTTCAGGGTGATGGAATAGCAGTGCTGTACAGTTTGGGAATATGGAGGCTCAGGATTGACTTCAGAGGACTTGGGTACTTCAGTCCTTTTCCTGAAGAGTAGGAGAACTCTAGATAGGAAGAAATCATCTTTATGGTATAGATCAAGTGTGTGATATTAGTTCTGTAGTCTTGTTAGGAATCTTATACCAGAGGCACAAGACAAGGGGTCTACATCACAGTTCATGCTGTGTAACACAAGGTAAATTGGTAATATGATTATTGCCATCCGTGATCGTGGATTATACCTCTATTTTCACTGTATTACTGAAAGCTGGTTCAATTACAGTACATCATCATTATTTTCTCCTGTCCAGTATGTGGTTCAGCATTAGCCCATATGCAATTTGGAAATTGGCACCGCTGTGCTGGCTGCATCTGACTGTAGATGAAGGAGGTCTCCCATTTCTAACCTGGATTCACTGGAATGGGTCTATCTTGCCTATGAGCCTCTCGAGATAGAATGAAAATGAAATATTGTTATATGGGCCACTTGCTTATATTTCCTACTTGGGCTAATATGGTGCTTGCCCAGTTTGGCACTGGAATCACTAATTCATCGAACCTTCCAAACAGCATGGTTGCTGTGCTGCCTCTGTGTCTGTCCAAAAGTTGACTTGGTTGAACTATAGCTGGCTTAAATTGACCCAAGACAAGAGTCAAGAGGTATTTGAGGATTAGAGAAAGCAAAAAGAGGTTATGGCAGAGGTTGTTAGCCACTTTAACTGTATTGGGTATGTCTTTCTTTTGTTACTGAAGACATGTCTACACTGCCCCCCAGTTTAGACTAAGGAGTGATGTGAATAGCAGCGCACACCAAAGTACTGCACTGTTAACTCCCCCATGTGGATGCCGTAGTCACAATGTAAAGGTCCTGAGTTCTCACTGATGCAACATTAGTGTGACCTCAGGACCTTTAATTTTGCTCCCACAGCTTCTACCAGGGGAGCACTACTACTGACATCACCCGTTAGTCCAAACTGTGGGGCAGTATAGACATGCCCTGGAGTTGGCAACCCTAGATTGTGTTGATTCCTTACCTGTTTCTGGATTCCCAGATGATTCCAGAAGCCAAGTGTGCTTTTTGCCAGTTTGTGACTTTTTTCCCCTTTGGGTATGAATATCTCCAGAGTCATTCATGCTTCAATAACCTCCAGACTGGGTTGCTGAAAAGCTAAGGGTTAACCACTCAGAAACTTTACCTACTGCGTTGCTTGAACACCAAATTATTTACTGGTGTTTCACACAGGAAACATGCCTGTGCTCCATAAAACCGGCTTGCTTTATACATCGTATTGTTACAGATGTTTCTTTTAATCTGGAAAGTTCTTCATAGTTTGGATCCTCCAGCTGTATATAAAAATTCTCTCACTTAGGACAACTCCTTGACAGTTGAGACTTGATGTTAGTGTGGAACTGACAACCCCTAGAGGACAGAGAGTTCTCATAGGGCTCCCAAATCCATAACTTGCTTACTCACTTGGCCCAGTGGAACTGCAGTTTGACTATTAGGACATGTTCAAGGAGAGTTTTCGGGGGCAGTGGATAGGAAGCATGTGAACAATAATTATTTTTATCCAGCTGAAGTTTGTCAATGTAGATTGGTTTTGGTATGTGTTCATATTGTTAATGTAAATGTGCATAGAGATAGGAGGCAAGTACTATGTAAATTTAAACAATAAATTTGTGGAGAATTGCAGAAGATGGTGGCAAACAGTGTGCATTAAAGTAATGAGAGAAATTGCTGTGCTTGTTTGTAATTATTTTTTCCTAATTATCTTTGTGCAGGTGCTAAAAGAAGCTTCCCAGACTAACCTCCTTGCACGGGTGTGGTGGTACAGGCCCTTCCAGTACTTTGAAAAGAATGTTCAAGGAATTGTACCTCGTTCTTACCATTGGCCCTTCCCCTGGCCAGTGCTGTATCTCGGTAGGCAAACTAAATACGGCAGATTGGTGAATGACACATAACAGCTGTAAAAAGTGGGGGGAAAGGAACTGTCCAAAGTGCTCAGAACTCCATGAGAGAAGATGCCATAAAAAAGTGAACTGCTCCCTAATCTTTTATCTTTTAACCATTACCTTCACCTAACCTGTTCAGTTACCTGGAAAGCACTGTGATCTTTTTTTTTTTCTCCAAAGGATCTGCGTTGGACAACAATAAAGAAAATTTAACTTATCATGCACTGTATACATTTCTTGTTAATAGATTTGGGATTTACATTACCCATCACCATGTTCCTTTGTATATGGATGCAACAGCATAAATGAAAACTTTTATATCATAGGTTCTGGTCTTTCCAGTCACATCTGGGAATAAAACATATTATTTTCTTGGGAAAACATACTTTTCATATCTCTTGCCCCAAAGATTGGGCTGTAAGCCATTTTCTAGCAAATGTGTATATGAAGGTTTCTAAATACCTGACTGGGGAAAAATTAAACCTCTTTCTACCTGTTGCACCAATGTTTCAAATAAAATGATAAGACACAGAAAGGTTTAGTAACTTTTGATTTTGTAAAATCTGCAGTGACAGTGTCAAAAAGTGCAAAAAATAATATTCTGTTGTAAAGTGATTTTCTAAGTATTTCCTAACTTTATTTTTCAAAATATGTATGAAAACTAAATTTAAAAAGATTTTTACATGTCAGAGAAAAGAGAGTTAAAATAAAAAATGCTTCTCGGAAGAGAGAGATTTGTCTATGTTTCTAGTGCCTTTCTTGTCTTGATTGTATGGTCAGTAGGCAGTCTTAGATGTTCTTATTTAAAATAAAATATTCCATGAAAACACAATTATATGTACTGTATACATTAATAAATTTTACATTTATAACTAAATTAAACTGGAAATTTACTTATAATGTTGAAATTGCTATTAGTAGGGAAAAACCAAATCAAAGGCTCAGATCTTGTTCACACATTGTGGGCAGGTCATAGTAAAATGTAAGATTTAAATTGATTTTATTATCTACTCAGTAGCTGGATTTTAACTGTCAAGACAACAGCCATGGATTCCCTTTTTCAGGAGTTTTACAGCTGATCACTGACTTCAAATTGAATAGTTTCTCCATCCTTTAATGAAAATGTTGTTGAAAAACAACAAAAATAATCTATTTCTTTAAAATATATTTGTGCAGAAGCTGCATGTACCTCTAAGTTTCACTCCTACCATACATACTGTATGTTTGGGGAAGTATTCTATTATATCCTTGCCAATGTGCAGAACAAAATAGATTTTTAAGAATGAAGAAGATAGCCGTTCGGTATTTTATGTGAAGCAGAGTTATCTTCTGTAGGGTTTTTGTGTATTCACAAGGTGATATTTGTATTGTAAAACAATAATGGTGAAGGAAAATAAAGAGACTTTTAAAAAATGTATTTTCTTTTATCTTTTCAATATGTCTTAAATTTAACGGTAGGTTTACACTCCAGAGCCTTGTCTTTACTTTTCTGTGTTTTATTGAATGGATTCAGAATTGGACTTTATCGAAACAGCATTCATTTTTAGCCAGTGTTCACATTTTACAAGTCAGTGCATTAATACTATGGAATAGTAGTAATATTTAAAAGTCTGGTTGTATGTCTGACAGACCTCCATGTGGCGAACAAGGATCATCCGTGATCCACAATGAGGAATTGCTTCAAGCTCCTAGGTGACATGATTGCTTGTACACACAGGCATAGCTCAAGTCAATCTACCTCTCTGAGGTTCACCATCTGGACAAGTTAGTATGGATCTCAGACAGGATATTGTCATCTCTGAATTGGTGCATGTGCCAGGACAACATGTGAAGGGCTTCCCCTTATCAGGAATCCACCTCCTCCTTTATTTATTGTTGTCATCTCTTATGGGTCCCTCGTTTGTACCCTTAGCCTCCTGCTGCGTTATTACACCTCTCAGCAAAAGTGGCTGTTAGAGGCCATCACCTCTGTTAGAGTAGTGGGGAACTGCACATGCTGATAACAGATCCCCCAGATGCTATAATCTATGACAAAAAAGTGCACCTTTCCAAGGTCTTATCTGATTTCCACCTAAATCAGTCTACATACTTGTCAGTCTCTTCCAAAGTCACATGCTCACAAGGATGAGCCTTTTACCTGGACAGAACAAAACCCTTTTGAGTTTCTTACCAGCTCTTCATATCCTATGCAGAGCAAATGGGACATCATCCTATTGCAGCATGACGACTCTAAATGGATTGCAAGCTTCATTGTCACACCTATGCTGCCAAAGATATCAAATTTCCTGAGAAGCTGTCTGCATTCAACAAGAGTGCACTTATCCATCCTCATTTCCTTTTATGGGAAATGTTCCTATCGTTGCCATCTGTACAGTGGTGACAAGGGCCTCGGTCCACAGATTTGTTAGACAGTATGCAATTACAGCTGCATCAAGAGAAGAGACAAATGTAAGAAAAAACAGTTCATCTTCTGATGAAACACCTAGCCCCATATCTACTGATAATGGCTTAGGCTTTGTGACATTTTGGGGATCACCCACACCAGTAAGGGGTTCTGTCACCTCCTACCTTGTAACGTTCGGTGCCTCTATTCTGCTGTGGTTCAGAACCCTGACACCAGTAACCAGCCTACAAGCATCACTCTGGCTTCCACCCACCTATTTACCCCTTGCAGGGTGACCCCAATAGCCCTTCTGGTCCCAAGTCTCCCCTTCCCTTTTAACAGGATTTGCTGTGTTTTGTTTTCTTTTTCTCAGACTGTAGTAATTCATGGTTACGCAGAGTGTGGGAAACGCCTTCCTTCCTTAGGCCATGTCTATGCTTACAAGCTTACAGAGGCACAGGTGTACCGATCCAACTGTGCAGCTATAAGAGCACTCATGTCGTCACGTTATGCCAACGTTAGAGCAGCTCTCCTGTCGACATAATAAAACCTGTTCAATGGCGGCAGTAGCTATGTCAGCAGGAGAGCATCTCCCTCTGACATAATGCTTTGCACACAAGTGCTTATTGCCAGCAAAACTTATGTTGCTCAGGAAAGTGTGTTTTTCACACCGTGTGTGACAAAAGTTTTGCTGACGTAAACTTTAATGGTCCACCATTGTCTTTCCCTGGGTATACAATGCTAGGTATTTGGAGTTAGTTTAATGTAAGCAAGTAGCCTGGGAGGTGCCCCTCCCTGCCTGATTGCTTCCCCATACTCCTGTGAGGTGGTGCTGCATAATTCATCTTCGAATGACAGTCACGTTAAAAACATTACTAGCTTTTATAAAAGGTCTTATCTGACACACATTTATACCCAATAACATTGTATATAACCAGTTGATTCACTTGCTTGTTTTGGGGGGTTCACACCCTTGTTCTCCTCTGCCTGGCCCCTGATTGTCCTGGTAGTCATATACAGTGCAATAGGATATGCAAGCACCAATAGAAATGGCTATTCTGCTTCTCGTAACAGTTTGTTCTTTGAGATGTGTTACGTATGTGCATTACATGACCCATCCTTCTTCCTCAACACATTGGAGTCTATCATTGGTATCCCAGTGTGAAGGAACTGAAGAATGATCAATGTGGCTCTGCTCTTTATACCCTTCATTCTTAGCATAAGGAAGTCAGGAAGTAAATGGGGCCACACCTATGGGTACCACGAGGAGATACTCTCTGGCATCAGTGCATGATATATACATACACCTACAGTGTAATGGACATATGCAACTCATCTTGAACAGCAGTTACGAAATGGTGAGTTATCAATTCTTAAAAGTGCTCGTATGGTGCCAGTTTCTAGACAGTCTCCATTATGCCTTGTTTTACATGGGGCCCCTAGTCTCTTGCAGCTATTTTAAATGAAGGGTGTGTACACTCCTAATGGGTTTCAATAAAATATAACCCAGATCATAACATTTGCAAATGCAGGGCTAAAAAGTTGATCTAAAAATTAACAAAACTTAGAAGTTGATAACGCTTGGGAAAGATTCCAGCTCTCAGGGGTAAGTGACTAGATTGTCTAGATTTTTCATGATCACACATAAAAGATCATTGGCATTTGTATGAATATATGAGCATTACATTAAATTGAATCTGCTCCAGTCTGTATTATAGTATCTGACTTACTGCATGGATTTTGCTAAAGATGTTTTGATTCGCACAGTGAGTTTTCATTAAATTAAAGAAACCAGTCTTGATTGATACTTTCTGTTGTAGTTGGCAGCAAATAACTGTTGGGTAACTGGAGTTACTCTTGTCCAGTGGATACCATGTGAAAATGAGATAGGATTTGGGAACATGGAAAATAAAATTTAAGATGTGAGACAAAACTGGACTACCCAGGAATAAAGGGAGCAATTAAGAAGGATAAAGCATTGCCAAGAAGCTACATGATTTCTTTGCATCAATATCCAGCACATAGAATGTTGGAAAAATATCTTTTTAGTTACAGGTAATAAAGAGGGAAACTATCAGAAACTTAATGCTTCAAAAGAGGAGATACTGTAACAAATTGATAAATTAACTAGCAACAGGACACTAGGACCATATGGTGTAGAAGTTCTGAGAGATAGGGCAAGTTAAAATTTAACCTGCAGGGACTATAAGCCAATGTGCAGCGGCTGAACATTTGGAGTTTGATACAATAATTAGAGAATAACCACCATAATATATCACACGGTCCCCATAATCAAGGGGAATTTGTCCATGTATCTCTGAAATTGTTCAGATATGGTATATTTGCTTTGATTCTGCCATCCTCATTTTCTAAAGAAGTTACAAAGAGCTGCTCCCAATCATTTAGAAAAAATGTACGCACAGGAGCCTCAGTGTCAGTCTGGGGTTTTGTATCCTGAGGGTGAGGGAGGTTGGAACTCTCCTAGCTGTTAAAGCTTTGAGCCCATCTCCTATGTTCCATTGGAATTGCTATGCCCTCAGTCTCCTTTAGACCTCCTCAGACCCTTTATTACCACAGTTAGTATAGTTGCTTCCCTGCAGAAGCTTTGTCTGCTGCTGATCCATCTCTTTTCTTCGAGGCTTATTTACTTTTGACAGTTCTGCTGGATCCTTTAGTGGTCTCTCATCAATCATTCCAATTAGGCTGTTTTTTAAGTGGCTTCAGATATAGGTTGTCCCCCCAGTCTCTCTTGAAACCGAGTTGTTTGCTTGCTGAAAGCAGTTGCTCTGTCTCTGGATGACTTCTTCCGGGCAGGATTGTAGGTGCAATTAATATTTCTCTTTTTTCCTCTTTTTCTTAGTAATAAGCGCAGATGACAGTCACATAATTCCTGTGGTGTTTTAGAGAACCCCTGGCCTGCAGCTATTGAATAATGTAAATTATTTTCTCTAGTTTTGTTGAGGCATGTTTCTGTCAGTAGTGGGAGGCTCAAAAGGCTGGATGCTGTATTTCCTGCCTGCCAGGAGAGGACTTTGAGGTCAGAGTCAGAAAAATATTTGAGGCAAGAGGATCAGAGATCTAGAAGTGCAGTGAGGTTGATGCCATAGGGAGATGTGCACCAGTGCACACTTGCTCTGGGCAGTGGAAGCCATTTGGTGTAGTGTCTCTGATCTTATATACCTAACAGAAGAGACAGTCCAATGTGTCTGTTTCAGTGCATCGCTGGAATCATAGACGCTTGCAGAGGAGAGATACTTCAGCTCCTTAGCATCTCTGCCACCTCATGGCAGCACAAAGCATGAAGTGTGGCAGCAAGACAAAAAGCCAGCCCTTAAAATGAAGGCAGGTTTCTGATGCAACAGATATTGATCTGATGGGATCAAGCAGCTTAGCGCATCATGTCTGGGAGGAGGGGTCTGGCATAAGTGCATTAATACATTGCATCCTTACTTTGGCAGACTGACTGTGTGTAAAGCCAGGTGCCTCTGAATCATTCCTGGCCTCTAAACCTTGACACAGGAGGGCGATGTCCCAGGGCATTTGGCCTCAAAATCTCAGAGCCCTGTGTAGGCAAGTGGAAATCCTGTGTGCATGGTATCTAAATAGAAAAATTTAGAACAGTGGGGGCTGATTGGGTGCTTGAAGGTTTTCAAATAACTTCATTTAGGCAAAAAATTGGAAGCTGAGCACTTTTGAGAATCTGGCCCTGGGCTGGGATATAAATGCTTTCAAAATACATAAATAGGGTTAAAGTATTTTTAAAATACGTAGAGAATGTGTAGTAATAGTAAATTGTAAATACAAATACAATACTACTCAATCTGAGAGGCCCTAGATAGAGCGAGAGGCAGTTGATGTTGCAGACGCAGGAGTTTGGACTGACTGGGAGCTCCAGGAAGGACAATTTTTTTCTTTAAACAATTTAAACCACATGGGGAGGAGTTGTAAGGCTACGTTCAGCAATGGACAAGTAAAACGGTAGTAACCAGTGGTTAGGAGTGTAGCTGCTATAGGAGCAGGGTTTTAACAAGACC